TCCGGGACATATTTGGGCCTCTTCCCACTCGACCAAGGCAGGCTGAGGCGGGCCAGGGATTCCTCTCCTGCCTCTGGGCCTCCCTTGTGCCTCAGGCAGATCAAGAGAGAGGGAGGGAGGCCTTCCTTCCTTCCTTTCCAGACTCAGCCGCGGCCTCCTCCTCTTTCCTGAGGGATTCCTTCCTTCCTCCCGGGAGGCCAGGCCCAGAGAGAGAGAGACAAAGAGAGAGACATCCGGGCCCTTCTGGAGGGAGGGAGCCTCCTCCTGGCAGAGCCTGCCTTCCGCTTCCCACCCCTTTTGGAGCAGGAATGGGACCCTCCTTCCTTCCTGTGCCTTGTGTTCTGATCTCTGCTCTGAGTCTCTTAAGATGCCTTTGAGAGAAACACCTTTCCATGTCCCTCTTTGAGAGAAATGGATTCCAGTCTGTCTCTTTTATACATAGGTTTGTCATTGGGTTGTTGTAGGTTTTTCCGGGCTGTATGGCCATGTTCTGGAGGCATTCTCTCCTGACGTTTCGTCTGCATCTCTGGCAAGCATCCTCAGAGGTAGGGAGGTCTGTTGGAACTAGGAAAAATGGGTTTATATATCTGTGGAATGATGACCAGGGTGAGACAAGGGACTCTTCTCTGCTGGGGCTAGGTGTGAATGTTTCAGCTGATCACCTTGATTAGCATTCAATGGCTTGGAAGTGCCTGGGGGGAATCTTTTGTTGAGATTGATTTTATGTGCCTGGTTGTTTCCTCTCTGTTGTTTTGCTGTTGTAATTTTTGAGTTTTTTAATACTGGTAGCCAGATTTTCCCAGCGGTTTTTGAGTTCTGTGAATATCACAAACGAACATTACATTTTTATTTATATAGACTAGCTGTACCCGTCCACGCATTGCTGTGGCCCATTGCGGAGAAATGGGAAAGAAAGAAAAGAGGAAGAGCTGGTTTCTAAGCTATCAATACACAACTGAAGTGGCAAAGTGTCAGCCTAATATAGGCCCATTTCAGTCTCCTTGAGGCCAAAGGGTTATATGGATGTGTGGAAGGGCCGTGGGTTACCTGAGTCCACACTGCCATATAACCCAGTCCAAAGATATTATATAGATATTATTGTTGTTGTTGTTACAGATGTATAGATATTATTATAGGTATATAGATACTATTATAGACACAAATATTATTAAAGGCATGTAGGTATTATGTTTATAGATGTTATTTATTTATTTCATATCAAAAGCATTGCATAAATTAGTATAAAACTGATTGAAAATAGAAGGAGCACAGGGCTAAATATCTTTCGAGCAAAAACCGGGAACAGATGTATGGATATTATTACAGACCTATGGATATTATTATAGGCATATAGATATTATAGATATTATACGTGAATATAGATATTATTATTATAGACATAGAGATTATAGGCATATAGGTATTATTATTATAATAGATGTATAGATATTATTGACAGACAGATATTATAATTATAGACATATGGATATTATTATAGACATGTAGATATTAGGCTTGGGTAACTATGGAAAAATTTGGTTCTAAACTCGTTTCGTTTTTTAGGGGGGCCCTTGCATTTCGTTTTTTTAAAGAATTCCGAAATTTCCCTTTAAACAATTTCGAAATATACGTTAATGGCGGATGAAATTGTGCAGTATGCTAAAAAAATCCTCCAAATGGGACAGGGGGAACTTCTGAAGCTTCCCTCTCCCTCTGTTGTTGACTGTTGGTGTGATAATTTAATTTTTATCACTGATAAAACAAATAACAACTATAAAACTTGTACCAGACATACGGAAATAATTACGAAACAATTACGAAACAATTTTGAACCAATTACGAAACACTTACGAAACAATACGAAATAAATTGGAAAAAATTGTTTCGATTTTTAATTACTCCTCACAGTAGTCCTGCATGGCTCAATATTGGATCGTAAGCTAATTTAAATACGAATTAATAACGAATTATGAAATTAACGAACGAAACCGCCCAAGCCTAGTAGATATTATTGTTACAGGCATATAGATATCATAGACACACACACACACACACATATATATATGGTAGACTTATATATTATTATTATTATGATAGATATATAGATATTATTATTGTAGATATATTTATAGCCCAGGGTTGCTATAAAGTAAAACTTGATGGACATCTTTTGGGAGTGTTTTGATTGTGCCTTCCTGGGCAGCCTTTGCTAACTCACAGAGCACGCCTTTTTGTCCTTTCTTTGAATACTGGACTTCATTTCCCAGAATTCCTTCCCATAACTCAATATGGGTGAGCTTTCTCGGCACACACACACACACACAATCCCTCCCGTGTGAGTTCCCAGCAGGTACCTCCATGCTGCCGAGAGCCAAGACTCAAGAGAGAAAAGGGGGGGGGGGGAAGGAAAAGGAGAAAAGAGAGGGGGTCAATTTGGAGAAGGATGTTCTCTCTCTCTCTCTCTCCCTCACTCACTCACTCCTTCCTTCCTAGAAATATAAAGGGTTAAATAAAATGTGTACAGTCTCCGTGAGGTAAAGTGATGGAAGTCAATGTAGTGGGTAGGTTGTGGGGTTGCTGTACTGTGGGTGGTGGGTTGTCTTTGTATGTGCATATGTCAGTAAAAAAATACATTGTCTGATAACATCTTTAAAAATATCTAAATGCCCCCCCCCCCTCTTTCCTCCTTTTAAAAGCTTTAAAAACCTATCTATGCAATCTAGTTTATGGAGAGGCGGAGGATGAATATCCTTTTGCATATATCCTCAGGTTGGTCTACCTCAGCCCGCTGGACATGGCATAGTATTTTATTTCAATGTATTGTGTTTAATTTGTATGACTCCTTGTGTTACATTATGTTTACTTAATTTAATTCTCAGCTAATTTTTGGTTGGTTTTATAAGTTATATTGAGATCATTTATTCCTTGTTTACGTCTTTATTGCTATGCAGCTGTTCTTGGCATTGAATGTTTGCCATTTTTGTTTTTTCCTAGAAACCACCCAGAGTCCCCTCGGGGGGAGAGGGCAGGTTATAAGTAAAATTATTATTAGTAGTAGTATTAGTATTATTAGAATTAGTATTATATGTATACCCTGCTTTATCCTGCCAAAGGGAGATAAATATTAGGAATCACCCTTTCTTTCTTCCTTCTATCATTCATTCTTTTCATTCTCCATCCTTTCTTTTTGTTTTTTCTTTCTGGATTCTTTCGCTTCTTGTTTAAGAATCAGTGATTGCCTTTGTTGGCATCTGTGTATGTCCTTGAGACCCTGATGTCTGCATTTCTTGGTATTCCCATTTTCAACATGACCCATGAAGGGAAAAGGGGGAAATCTTGCAGGTAAAGAAGGTTTCTGTCTTTCATCACTGATCTTTTGCTTCTTTCTTCACCAAGGAAATGAGGATTCTATGGAGCCAACTCTTGGGTGCAGTAAGGAAACCATTAATATAGGAAGAAGGAAGAAAGAATCTCAAGGTGATGATCTTGCCGATTCCTGACTTCATTTACAGATAAGAAAGGGAAAAAAGTAGTGCCAACTATCTGCATTGCAATTCAACATCCATATCACTATTGACATGGAGGAGAAAGCATTTAAATGCCTGGAGTGTGGAAAGAGTTTTACTCGGAGGGATCATCTGCAGAAACATGAAAGAACCCACACTGGGAAGAAGCCCTATAAGTCTCTGGAGTGTGGACAGAGCATCACTCATCGTTCATATCTACATAGACATCAAACAACTCATACTGGGGAGAAAGCCTATAAATGCCTGGAGTGTGGAAAGAGCTTCAGTGAGAATGAAAGTCTACGTGTGCATGAAAAAACTCATACTGGAGAGAAACCCTATGCATGCCTGGAGTGTGGAAAGAGCTTCACTAACAATGGAAATCTACGTAAACATCAAAGGACTCACACTGGGGAGAAACCTTTTAAATGTTTGGAGTGTGGACTTAGCTTCTCTGAGAATGGAAATCTACGAGTGCATGTAAGGACTCACACTGGGAAGAAACCCTATAAATGCCTGGAATGTGGACAGAGCTTCAGTCAGAGTGGACATCTACGCACACATCAAAGGACTCACACTGGGGAGAAACCCTATGCATGCCTGGAGTGTGGAAAAAGCTTCAGTGTAAATGGAAATCTACGTAGACATCAAAGAACACACACTGGGGAGAAACCCTATAAATGCCTGGAGTGTGGTCAGAGCTTCACTGCTAAAGGAAATCTACATACACATCAGAGGACTCACACTGGGGAGAAACCCTATAAATGCCTAGAGTGTGGACAGAGCTTCACTCAGAATTCAGGTCTACATTCACATCGAAAAACTCACACTGGGGAGAAACCATTTAAATGCCTGGAGTGTGGCCAGAGTTTTGCTTCGAGTTCTACTCTTGCATCAAAGGACTCACACTGGGGAGAAACCCTATGCATGCCTGGAGTGTGGACAGAGCTTCAGTCGTAATTCAAGGTCTACATTTGCATCAAAGGACTCATACTGGGGAGAAACCCTATGCATGCCTGGAATGTGGAAAGAGCTTCACTAACAATGGAAATCTACGTAAGCATCAAAGGACTCACACTGGGGAGAAACCCTATAAATGCCTGGAATGTAGAAAGAGCTTCATTGATAGTGGAAAGTTACGTTTGCATCAAAGGACTCACACTGGGGAGAAACCCTATACATGCTTGGAGTGTGGAAAGAACTTCTCTTATAATTGAAATCTACGTAAACATCAAAGGACTCACACTGGGGAGAAACCTTTTAAATGTTTGGAGTGTGGACAGAGCTTCAATAACAATGGAAATCTACGTACACATCAAAGGACTCACACTGGGAAGAAACCCTATAAATGCCTGGAGTGTGGACAGAGCTTCTCTCGTAATTCAAGTCTACATTTGCATCAAAGGACTCACACTGGGGAGAAACCCTTTAAATGCCTGGAGTGTGGACAGAGCATCAATAACAATGGAAATCTATGTACACATCAAAGGACTCACACTGGGGAGAAACCCTATAAGTGTCTAGAGTGTGGACAGAGCTTCACTGTCAGTGGACATCTACGACTGCATCAAAGGACTCACACTGGGGAAAAACACTATGCATGCTTGGAGTGTGGAAAGTGCTTCATTGATAATTCAAGTCTACATAAACATCAAAGAATTCACACTGGGGAGAAACCTTATACATGCCTGGAGTGTGGACAAAGCTTCAATGACAATGGAAATCTACGTACACATCAAAGGACTCACACTGGGGAGAAACCCTACAAATGCTTGGAGTGTGGACAGAGCTTTATTCGTAGTACACAACTACGTTCGCATCAAAGGATTCACACTGGGGAGAAACCCTTTAAATGCCTGGAGTGTGGACAGAGCTTCACTCGTAATTCAGGTCTACGTTTTCATGAAAGGACTCATACTGGGGAGAAACCCTATATATGCCTGGAGTGTGGAAAGAGCTTCACTAAGAATGGAAGTCTACTTATGCATCAAAGAACTCACACTGGGGAGAAACCCTATAAATGCCTGGAATGTAGAAAGAGCTTCATTGATAGTGGAAAGTTACGTTTGCATCAAAGGACTCACACTGGGGAGAAACCCTATACATGCTTGGAGTGTGGAAAGAACTTCCCTTATAATTCAGGTCTACGTTCACATCAAAGGACTCATACTGGGGAGAAACCCTAAACATGCCTGGAGTGTGGACAGAGCTTCACTCAGAATGCACACCTGTGCTCGCATCAAAGGACTCACACTGGGGAGAAACCCTATAAATGCTTGGGAGTGTGGACACAGTTTCACTCAGATTGGAAATCTACGATTGCATCAAAGGACCCACACTAGGGAGAAACTCTAGAAACGCATGGTGTGTGGAATGAGCCTGAGAGTTCAAATCTACATAGACATAGAATTCACATTGGAAAGAACAGTAGTATTTGACCCCAGAGAGACTCCCGAAAACAGAGCTTTCCAAACTTTTCATGTTGGTGACACTCTTTTTAGACATTCATCCTTTCGCAACGTGGTAATTCAGTTCAACTGGAAACCAGAGGTTAAACCAACCCCTTATAAGATTTTGAATATAAATATTATATCATAATATAGACAGATTTGTTTTATATAATCACTATTACATAAAAAAGTCTTATATCTTTTCAAAATCGCTAATAGACTTACTCTTATTCCAGCCAAATTTAGTTTATATCCTTCTAGATAGAGTAAAACTCAATTTTCTAATCTAACCCACTCCTTTAGCCAGTGGAAGCCTATCGCTTCATATTAATAACCAATGTTTGGCAGCGCTAAGCCCCCCTCTCTTTGACATCTGTTAGGTTTTTGCAAGCAATGATAGCTTTTCTTCCATTCCATATAAATTTAGTTAAATCCTTAGAGAGATGGGCCAAAACTAACAAAATGAAGTTCAACAGTGCAAGATACTCCACTTAGGCAGAAAAAACAAAATGCTAAGATATAGAATGGGGGACGAGGCCTGGCTCGAGAGCAGTACGTGTGAAAAAGATCTTGGAGTCCTTGTGGACAACAAGTCAAACATGAGCCAACAATGTGATGTGGCGGCAAAAAAAGCCAATGGGATTTTGGCCTGCATCAATAGGAGCATAGTGTCTAGATCTAGGAAGTCATGCTACCCCTCTATTCCGCTTTGGTTAAACCACACCTGGAATATTGTGTCCAATTCTAGGCACCACAATTCAAGAGAGATATTGACAAGCTGGAATGTGTCCAGAGGAGGGCGACTATAATGATCAAGGGTCTGGAGAACAAGCCCTATGAGGAGCGGCTTAAGGAGCTGGGCATGTTTAGCATGAAGAAGAGAAGACTGAGAGGAGACATGATAGACATGATATAAATATGCGAGGGGAAGTCACAGAGAGGAGGGAGCAAACTTGTTTTCTGCTTCCCTGGAGACTAAAACACAGAGCAGTGGCTTCAAACTGCAGGAAAGAAGATTCCACCTGAACATTAGGAAGAACTTCCTAACTGTGAAAGCTGTTCACCAGAGGAACTCTCTACCTCGAAGTGTGGTAGAGCATCTTTCTATGGAGGATTTTGAACAGAGGCTGGGTGGTGCTTTGAACGTGATTGTCCTGCTTCTTGGCAGAATGGGGTTGGACTGGATGGCCCACGAGGTCTCTTCCAACTCTAGGATTCTATGACTGGCATTGTGGTGAAAGTGAAAAGTGAGCGTCCTTATTCTGCTTCCCTCCAAGTGCAAAGTTCGCACGGTACGAGGAACATCCAGAAAGTCAGGTTACAAGATTTTTTAAAACCTGTAGGCCTGGCTCTGTTGGTTTAGCCTTTTTGCCTCAGAACTTGTCTGAAAGGGTTTTCCCTCCTTATTCTGGGTTAGAGCTTTAGAGAAGAAGGCCAGAAATTGTCTGGGTTCCTTGGCCTGGCAATCTAAACAGGCATTCTATAGCACGTATATACCTCATTATAGCTGTGTATTTACCACATAGTCAACATAGTCTAGTACTTACCACTATAGCCCAGAGTGCTTTACCAATATAGCTTTGTCCATCATCATAGCTTGTACTATACCATTAGCATAGATAGTATTTACCATCATAGCTGTTTATATATCATATAGCTTAGTATTTACCGAGTATTTACAAAACAGTCATTGTACCGTGTACTTCTACCATATAGTTATTATAGTTCTGTACTTTACCATTTTAGTCCAATATTTTACTTTCAATAGCCAAGTATTTTACCAAATGACTTCCCACAATTATAGCCAAGTATTTTACCTCATATTGTGCAAATATAGTCAAGTGTTCATTTCCAGTGTAACCAGATTCAAGCAACAAACTTTGTCTTTGTAATATTTTATTTTGATTCGCCTTTCAAGAACTCTGACTGAAGTTAACTTTGCCTTTTGTTCCAGTAAACTTATTTGGTTCTCTTTAATCCTGTCTCAAGAGTCTTTATTTTAAAGAACTGAAGTACATCAGTGGGTATGCCGATAGCCACCGGGAATAGCCAGACTTATAGTTTTCCTTTTACACCCGGCGTGCGATCACAGTGCTATAGACCTCTTTGGCCATGCCGAATGGATTGCCAATAGAAAGTTAAAGTAAAAGCCTGTTCTCTGTGAAGGGTGTGGGAGAGAGAAAGGCCCTGTTTACACAGTGCTGAGGTCCTGCTTGGCCCTGTCATTTTGGGGTTGCTTACAGAAAAATACTTCTTGGGAGGAGAGCAATGTCCAATCTCGATAAAATAGTCAAGAGTAGAGACATCAGACTGGCAACAAAGATCCGCCTAGTCAAAGCCATGGTATTCCCTGTAGTAACCTACGGATGTGAGAGCTGGACCTTAGGGAAGGCTGAGCGAAGGAAGATCGATGCTTTTGAGCTGTGGTGTTGGAGGAAAGTGCTGAGAGTGCCTTGGACTGCAAGAAGATCCAACCAGCCCATCCTCCAGGAAATAAAGCCCGGCTGCTCATTGGAAGGAAGGAGACTAGAGACAAAGTTGAAGGAGGAGACATGAGGAGACAGGAAAGCCTAGAGAAGACAATTATGCTGGGGAAAGTGGAAGGCAAAAGGAAGAGGGGCCGACCAAGGGCAAGATGGATGGATGGCATCCTTGAAATGACTGGACTGACCTTGAAGGAGCTGGGGTGGTGACGGCCGACAGGGAGCTCTGGCGTGGGCTGGTCCATGAGGTCACAAAGAGTCGGAGACGACTGAACAAATGAACAACAACAACACAGAAAAATAAAGAGATAGCCTGCTCCCTGAAAACTTCCTGACTGTGAGAGCTGGTAAGCAGGGGAACTCTCTGCCCCGGAGTGTGGTGGAGGCTCCTTCTTTGGAAGCTTGTAAACAAAAGCTGGACGGCCATCTGTCAGGGGTGCTTTGAATGCAATTTTCCTGCTTCTTGGCAGGGGGTTGGACTGAATGGCCCATGAGGTCTCTTCCAACTCTACGATTCTATGATTCTACATGCGAGTGTGGAGAATAGCAAACCACAGACCACCTGCTGCAATGCAACCTGAGCCCTGCCACATGCACAATGGTCTTCTTGCGGCAACACCAGAGGCACCCCAAGTGGCCAGCTACTGGTCAAAGGACATTTAATAGAATACCAAGTCTGCAAACTTTGTGTCTTGTTTGTTTGTTTGTCTGTTTTTTAATGCAATACAACTGTTTTGGTTTGCTCCTGACAAGATAAATAAATAAATTCTAATCTATCTAGGCTAAGTACTCATTGAGGGCTGGAGCCTTGTAGAGTCAGGGATGAAACTCAACACTAACCAAATCTGTTTTTGTAGTGGCATGTCTTTATCCTTGGCAGTTTAAAGACATGGTTCTTCAGTTTAACAGCTGAGTTACCCATGTGCCATTCCATGAATGCTTATGAATATCGCTTGTTCAAAGAGTTGAC